TCTACAAAAAACCGCCAGTGGTGTATTCTTTTCCTGGGGAAATGAGGCGGCACGTCACTGGTTAAAGCCACGAGATTAATATTACATTCAATAAAAGGTCTACTTAAGTAAATACGCTTTAGTAAATTTCATTTATTTCCGTCAGCGCATTATGAAGATATGGCAGAAAAAATATATATTTTTTGTAAACTTTAACACCCTGTATCTCGAATACCGAGTCCCGTAGGAAAAAGTTTATAGAGCAACCTCTACTTATTTTTTAGTAATGAATCTAGTCCTGCAATTTCTGTATTTAAAGTGAAATCACCCTGTATAAATATATACAAAGTGATTCAGGTTTAACCTGGATAATTTTAGTAATCGACAGAACAGGTTAAATTAATGTTTATTCATGATATAATCTTATTTCCTAAATCGCACCGTTTCGGAGATAGAGGGCGTTGAAGTAGAAATTTTTTTCCCGTTTTTCCCTCATAACTTTTGAACCATTCATCCGATTGAAGAGAAATTCGGAATACAAACACACCTTATGATCTTAGAAGTGTATTTTGTGTTCTGCCCCCTCGTACATTATTTCAAAACATTAAAAAAATTAAATAATCAATATGAAGATGATCCAGATCGCCGTATACAATGTTGAACAATCTCAATTTTTTATATTGTACATGCATTTCTGAAGAATGCACATTCTTTCTTAAAGGTTACGTCAACAGACATAATTGCAGATACTGGTGTTCAAATCTTGAAGTTTATGAGAGAACAGCATTCAAAGTATCCAGAAAAGAAGAAGAAGAAGAAGAAGAAAATAATATTGTTGGTCCATTTTTTCTACCTGATAACTTGACGGATGAATCTTACCTCAATTTGCTTCAGACTTCATCTACCCTCCCATTGTGAAGATTCTTGAAAACGACGATCAAATGCCAGAGAATGAGATATTTTGTCTACAGGATGGCGCTCCGCCACACTAAGCAGCTGCTGTACATGACTTTTTGAATTAACATTTTCCCGAACACTGGATTGGTAGAAGGGGTTTCATTGAATGACCCCCAAAATCGCCTGATTTAACACCATTGGACTTTTTCTTATGGGGTCATTTAAAAAGTGTTATTTATAAAACGAAACCTACCTCTTAAGAAGATCTTCGCCACCGAATAGTGGTAGCACGTGATTAAATAACCCCTGAAATGCTGCAAAATGTTCGGGAAAATGTTGAACAATGGTTTTATTACTGTATGGATGTAAATGGGTCGCAATTTGAACACTTAATTAATTAAAACTTTTTTTTCGATTTATTGCACCGAAACTTCCAACAGGTTTTTTACATTAATTTTAAAGCGAAACAAAAAAATTCAGCATGTTTGTAGAGAGAATTGAAATACCTTTAAAATGATGTGCCCCTTGAAACCAAAATCGACCTGTTTCGGGGTTTTCCGGAAAAACCTGTTGCATTGAAAATATTTCAGGTGGACTGTTTTAATTGGACCACCCAGTATAATTTTTAAGTGTAAAGCATTTTTATGTTTTAGTTATTGTAAATTGGGAAATCAGTAAAACGTTTTCAGATTTATAAATGCTTTATCTAAATATTTGAATATAATAATAATAATAATTTATTGATGTCAGAACATAAGATAAATGTTTACACAAATCACAAAAGAAATATGACACCAAAAGTATCAGTAATTAAAAATAGGTTAAAACTAAAGCACATCTAAGTGAATAAATCATTAAAAGAAATACTACAAATAAATAATATAGATACAAAAAAGCACTATTACAAAATACATAAAGAAATATATCACACATCACACACATTACATGGTATTCCTAGGGGACTATCAAGAGCAACAAAATCATCATTAAAATAATCATCAAATGAGTAAATAGTCTTCATTTTAATAATAGCAGCAACAGCAATAAAATATATTCAAATCTTATAATTCGTCTTCATTTACTTTTACTGGAAATAAGAAATATAAAAGCCAAACTCTCCTACACTAACCTTGACTTTGCATTAAATTTATGTCTGAATACTTATTAAAATGAAAAATAACTCTAGTCATCATAATACAAGGTGTCCCATTTTAATGTATCAGGCCACATATTTTTTTTTTAATTCGACTTTATAAAAAAATATTTTAAACAAAAGTTATCAGGCTTCGAGGTGGTCAAATTATGGTGACCTTGAATTTGACCTTGAAGTTAATTATCAAAGTCATTTCAAGGTAAACCTTGATTTTTTATATGGAAACCCGTATTTTTTATTCGTATCCCTATTATGCGGATTCCTATTCTACGGGAAAAAATACGTAACTTTTGTATGAAACATTTTTTTGAAAATGCTTCGTTCTTTCGCCAGAGTTCGCTTTACTTTTAATGTTCCTTTTGTCTATGGTCCCATATTAATTATCAGATTAATATCTCAAGAAATAAGCAGGATGGTGAAAAATGTTTCTGACAAAAGTTGTCAGGTTTCAGGAGGATCAAGTTACCGTGACCTTGAAATTAACCCTTAAAACAATTATCAAGGTCATTTCAAAGTCAACCTTTGCTTTTTAAATAGAAAGCCATATTTTTCTTACAATTTCGTAAAATATGTATTTTTCCCTGCAGAATACGAAACTGTAATAATCGGTTTCCATTTAAAAAATCAAGGTTGACAATGAAATGACCATGAGAATTGACTACAAGATCAAATTCAACCATAATTTGGCCCCCTCGAAACCTGATAACTTTTGTTCGAAGTGTTTTTTTATAGTCGAAGTCGAATTAAAAAAATTATGCGTCCTGGCACATTAAAATGGGACACCTTGTATAATTCATATAAAATAGAAACGATTACTTTCATTTGAAGTGTTGATATATTTCATTAATATACACCCCCATACCCCATACCATAAATACCATGTTCGCTATAATATGACCTAAACTACTGGGTGATCTACAAAAGGAAATCTTATGACAACTCACGGATGACAACTTACTCATTAATATTTTTTGCTAATATATTTCACTTCATCTTTTACTTCATAGAAGAATTCTATTATACAGGGTGCCCCGTTCATGTTTCAAAAAAACTTGTGTGCAAGTTCCTCATGGGAAAATAATAGGGGTAGTTCATGTAACGTTTTTTTCTTAGACTCCCTGTTTTCGAGATACAGTGTGTTGAAGTTGTTACTTTCCAAATGGTTTTCCTTAATTATATTTAAATCGGCTAAAGACAAAAATGTAAAAATTTGTACACGAGTAAACATCAACTGTGCGTTAAGAATAATGTGCAAACGGAAAAGCAGTGTCGCCGATACAGGTAATTGGAGGGGTACAATCGAAAAAAATATATTAAAAGTCAAAATTTATTACATTTCTAAACGGTTCTATAAATTCTAAAGCATACTACAAAAAAGGTATACTTGTCGAAATTCGGTAGCATATACCATTTTCGAGAAAAAATTTTTTTGCTCACATAAAACGGCGCAAGTACATTGACAAAATATTAAATTGAAAGAGGGCTTTACCATTGAATGAGCTACCAACAGTATTTGCATTTAAGACTATAATTTTAATTTCTTACGTATCACATGAAACAGTTACATTGTAAAACATTTTATTAACTAAAAAACAAAAATTTAAATTTATTTTAAGTTTCAACTGACATTTAAAAAAGTTAATCAAAATAAACAGATTATGGTCCTTAACTATCTGTTAATAACTAATTTTAGATTTTGTAAACTACTACACTACCATTACTAAAATAAACAATTGTTGAATGGACTGAATTGTTGTTGATGGAAAATATTAGGAAACAGACTCGGAGACATACAGAACAAAACAGCTGCACAATTAAATAAATGAGCAAAACTCGAAATACTACAGTAGATGCTGAAACTGTTCCCCATTTGCTTCTATGCAACTTAATTTTTCTTGAAAATCGTACATGCTACCGAATTTCGACAAGTATACCTTTTTTTGTAGATGCTTTAGAATTTACAGAACCATTTAGAAATGTAATAAATTTTTACTTTTAACATTTTTTTTTTCGATTGTACCCCTCCAATTACATTATTGGCAACACTGATTTTCAGAAACAAACCGTTTGCACATTATTCTTAACGCACAGTTGATGTTTACTCCTGTACAAATTTTGACATTTTTATTTTTAGACGATTTATAGATAGTTAAGGCAAACCATTTGGAAAGTAACAACTTCAACACACTCTATCTTGAAAACAGGGCGTCTAAGAAAAAAACTTTACATGAACTACCCCTATTATTTTTCCATGAGGAACTTGCACACAAGTTTTTTTGAAAGATGAACGGGACACCCTGTATAAGTATAAACTAAAGGTCAGAAACTTGTCAGATCTAATTTGATGTGTCGGATGTGTCAAATAACAATCTCCTTGACTACCAGGTAGCCGTTTAAAGGCATGAAGAGGGATGAGAGGACTTCAATCGTACCCACTGTCATACTGTATATAAAATGTTGCCACCCTACATTGTCGTGACACCTAGTAACGAATAGTTATACTACGAACTGGGAATATAAATAAGTATTAATAAAATTATAGATGTCAGTAGTAGCAATATCTTAATTTTATTCTTTAATCCTTTATAAAACCACTATCTTGATATATTGGTATAAGGAAGCCACTGTAATTTTAATATATAAAAAATTAATATAAATTCATCTTACACTATAATTTTTGTTATTATATTCGACAATGAAACAACAACAGACAACCCAATGGCATTATAGGATCTACATTGTGCAATACAAAGTATATACAATGAAATGAGTAAAATCCTTCCCTCTGAGTTGTGTTGTAAAGTTATTTGAGTATAATCATTATTATTTACATAGTTATTGTATTCCACTATTGTGGTTTTCTCGCGAGAAAGGAAACTGTAAATGCTAGTTTGAGTTGGCATAATCGAAATTTAAAGTTGAAGAGTTGGCATTTTACCACTTTATACATTTTTATTTTTAACAACCTGTCACTGTCAAAAATGAGAAAACAATAAAAACTAATAGTGTAATGTGCCAAAAATATTTTAATAAAAATAGAAATAGATTTACCATCAATAATGAGTGATAAACAACGGCCATGTTCAAACGAAGCTATGAACAAAATTATTGGAAATATGACTGCAGAAATGCAAAATGTTGATGGCCAATATATTCCTTTAGGCTTTACTCCGCCACCAACTACAGAAACAGTAAATTGGACACAGCAGCCAAATGCATACATCAATCATTATAATGTACACAATTCTGAACCCCATATTAGTCACGCCTCGATGGACCAATACCCACAGCAAACTTTTAATTTCATGTCCCAAGCGCCTCATCTCTTTGAACCCAATTCTTATAAAAAAAATGTAAACGATCTCTCTGATTATGATATGTACAAATCAATGCAAAATGGTACCCCTGACATTGGTCTTTTTAATACGGATTATACACTTCTTGTACCACAAAATATACAGCATCAGATTAACAACATTCCTGATCATCATGTGTTGCATCAACATCAAGAATCAACCCCACATTCAACAAATCGTACTCATTTAATTGAAAATTTAGTAGGCAATTGGATGGTGCCTAACAATAGTGGTACATATTCACCTTTTGGAAACTCCGAAACATATAAACCTAATGTATTTGATTTGCAAATGGACAGAGATGTGGTTGGTACGAATGTAATTCATCAAATAATTGATGAACCAAAATTTAAGGCTCCTATTGAACAACCACTGGATGATATTCAATTTCAATTTAATAGAGATACAAGGAAACCTCGAATGGTGGCCGAAGTTAAACCAATGCGTCCAAGTTATTCAGATGTTTTAACAAAACCTGTTCCACAAACACTTAGCAAACCTATTAAAAATGATGCAAAAGAAACTAAACCAAAAAAAGAAAACAAAAAGAATACAAAAAGTGATAAATCACAAAAGGTAACTAATTCCCTAAATAGAAGTAATACTAATAATGATATTAGAGATATTCCTGCAGAAAAAAATTTAATGCATATTAAAAATGACAGGGCTAAAGCATCTAAAGGTAATAATTTAAGTCGGAAATGGGCTTCATTGGATAACATTGCTGATCCACAAATTAATAAAATTGACGACTCGAAGAAAAAGAGAAATGACGATAATATATATAATAAAAATTTTTCAAAGTCGAGTTCACGAAAATTAAATAAAACTGTAAATGATGTTGCAGATCTAGATTCTGAGAGTGTTAAAAGTGAAAATTTTAATAGCACTAAAAATGGTTTGAAAAAAATTTCTAAGCCTAGTGCTAGACCCAAATCTAATGATTCTTTTGGAAGCAATGAAAGACCACCTGGTAAAAGAAATCAAAGGACTAGAAAGAGGGAAAATCATGTTCCATTTGGTGAGTTGTTAATTTCTTTTAAAATAACTGAGAGCGAACAAATTTTGAAGACAACATTTCAACTCTGATACTTACTTGTAGCACTCAAGTGATGATTTTAAAACCATACAACATTTATTCTGGGACTTATCAAAATTAACCTAGATAAATTTGCAAAATTAATAGAAATCCTGAAAGTGGTTAGTAATCAGAGTAAACATTTTAATTTAAATCTAAAATTTTCATACATATATGGAAATAATAATAATTGCATTTACCAATATTGCCAGAACATACATTTTTTGTAGATATTAATGATTGTTTGTTGTATACATACAGTGTGTCCCCGGGGACACATGCAGTAACGCACTCTTGTAAGCTTTTTTGTTGTTGATTTTTTCAAGAAATAGTTATTCTTGATAAAAAGTTTTGCTTATCTTGGCATGCCATGGTCAGTAATCAAATATGTAATAAAACATACAGGGCATCCAAAACATTCCAAAATGTCAAATTTTCCCTAGGCAAAGTGCCTTTAATTTTTGTTTTCGTTAAAAACTGTTTAACAAAGTTGTTCAAGAGCTGAAGAACCTGGGTTTAATCAAAAAAGAAGAGTAATCACATTTTGCAAATAAGGAGACCCAATTTTTAACTTACTTAAAACAGACAGAAATTGTAAAAAATAAGTAAACTGTTATTTTAAATTTAATATAAATAGCTTGGTAGAACAATTTTTGGGTTGATTACCAGGTCGTCAGTTTAAGTTTCGAGAGATTCGCTGTCTTCTTTAGAAGTAACTGTAAAAGTTTTCAAGTTTTTGAAAAGAACTAAATATCTCTCAAAATGTCAAGAAACCTAAACCGACAAAGTGGCAACCTGCCCAGAAATTGTTCTCCCATTAACATCTGCCACTGTAGCCTGCAATCCAACTAAAAGTAGCTTTTCTAATTAAAAAATAGAAATAACAAATTAGAATTGAAATTAACAACAACAATGAAGCAACTCCTATTCCTATTCAACTCATTTCTTCGTTTATGGTGGCAACAGTTTCATGAATTTTTTGCTTAAGTTAATGTTATCGTCAAAATGGTTTGAATACACTTTTTGCTTTTGCTCCCATTTGTTCGGGAAGTGAATGTCAAGCCAGTTTCTCACTGGAAAGTGTGGAATGTGCAGGTCATCTGTCATATTGAAATATTAGTTTTCTTCTGAACTACGAATTTTGATTAAGATTTACCTCCAAAAATTAAGGATCAATTTACTTACATTTACATTTTTAAATTTTTGAGTATTATCAATCAAAAATTTGGATTAATCTTTAGCCTAGCATCTACAATTTTGAGAGGAAACCATGCCATTAGTTGTGAATGTGGATTCGTCATTTCTCGCCCATCCTTAAACAAAAGCCTAAAGGACTGGATAGATTTTGTCCTATATTAAAATTCTTTGAATATGAGATCTGCTAATATTTATGTTTTCTGACCTTTTCCTGAGTGACATATTTGGATAGTTTTGTACAGAGTCTGTAACTACAACAGTAGCACCATCGATATCATTTTTTTTTCTTTTTAATATTCTTTGCATAACCATCCAATTTTATGATAAACTTGCGAACTGCTCTACAAGTTACAGTTACATTTGGATACTCTTCATTAAAAATTTGTATTGAATTAAACATTACCGATTCCATAACATTTCACAAAATAAATTCGTTGCTCCAGGGTTAGCATTATTAATAAAAAGGATTCGGTGGGCAGTTAATAAAAATAAATATGTTGACTTTCACATTGATAAGGAAATATCTTTAGTAATTATATGGTATGTAAGATAATTACAAATGGCAGCAGTTTTTTATTTGCAAAATGTAATTATGTTCTTTTCTGACCAAACCCCGTATTTAAGCATTTCTTGAGTTCTTAAACAACTTTGTTAAGTACAGTTTTTAATGAAAACAAAAATTAAAGGCATCTTGTGTAGGGAAAATTTCACATTTTGAAATTTTCTGGATGCTTTGTACATTTTATTATTAAACTTTTTATCAAGAATAAATTTTCTCGAAAAATCAACAATAAAAAAGTTTACAAGAGTGCGGTACCTCATCCGGAAACACACTGTATAGGACTATGAATTCTTTGTATATTCATTCATTTCAAAATAGCAATTAGCCAGAAAAATTGACTGAATCAAAAATATAACTTTTAAATGATCCAAGTCCCAAAAATCTTGAAGGAATGTACTAAGTACTAATTGACCTTTATTATGTGAAAATTGTATTGAAGGATAACTTTATTTGCAACCAAATACATGTTACATTATTTTGTTTAGAAATGGTTTAACATTTTCAAAAAAAATGGTCTATGTGTCACAACAAAATATATTCTATTGGTTCTAGTACTAAATCTGAATGATATTAAAACGATCTAAGTGCCAACTAAAAAAAAAGTATTATAATAAAAGTAAACTTGTCGGTCTTAAAATGTTAGCCACACATCATGAAGGATATCTACAGAGCCTTCATAAATGATTACAAGCCACGTGATCAGTAATTTTGTTTGGAATAGTATTTCATTTCCTTCACTTTGGCAATTAAATTTCGCTAAAATTAAAACAATAACAGGGTTCATAGTTCAAAATTAATATAATTCCTGGTATTCCCAGTTTTCCAGGCCACTACGGACCTTGAATAAGATCAAGGCTACAATAAAACGCAATATTCTGTTTCATCGTCTGTGATTGGTATAATTTTTCATGAGATTCTATTCAACAAATCAGTGCTGGCATTATCTCCAGCGTAAATGTAACGGTTTATCATTGAACATTGTAAAGGAATCATTAATATTGGTGACACCAAGGTTTAGGTTTTAGGGCTGCATTGTTGGTTGCCTAAGCTCGGAGGTCACGTGGCTTGTAAACATTTATGAAGGCTCAATATCTACCTCTATCCTTCATTCTGCATACAAAGAAACAGTAAAATTTACAGTTAGCATACACTTTCAATTTAAACATGTTCTTAAAGTTGGAACTATTTTTTAATGCTCCATTTGCACAGAAATTTTGATGATTTCATGTAGTTTATTTCAGTTCACATTTTCTGGAATATTGGCACTTAGATTTACTAGAAATTCAATTTTTCAATCTATGTTCTAATAGGTAAAGCTCTTCCGATAGTTTCAGAATATAGATAGTGCATCTAAAAATAAAGGTGTCTTTTTATGGGGCATTCCATGCCAAATCGCTAAGGTTGTGATCGGACCATATTTAATTTTCGTGGTTTTTTGGTATAAGTACCCATTTAGAGTAGCTTTCATGAATTTTTTTCATGTTTATAATTCAACTCCTTAATAAGTTATGAGCATTTGAATATTTTGATTTTTAAACCAAAAAAGTGCTTCATTCCCAACTTTTTGTTTTTACTTAATATTATTTATTATTATTACATTGTGCAAGCAAAACATATCTGCAAGTTTCACAAAGTTGTATGTGACTTAGTTTTTAAGGGCCCCATAATAAGGTTCAACCTGAGCCATCCCAAAGTACAAATATGGCCTCTGGCTGTCTGCGCCTATGAGTGTAATTAAGATTGCCAGCCCTAGTTAAATAAACATTATTCCATTGTATTCATATTATAATCATTATGTATATTTTGTTTTAGGAATTGTTGGACAAAAACTAAAGCAGTATACTAAAGGCTGGTGGAAAATATTTGTAGTTTTTATTTTATGGCTTTTTCATTTGATCTCTGATATATGCAGTTTAAGTATGCACATTAGTCATGATATGTAAGTAAATATCTTTTTTTTTTCATATGTCTAATTGAGTGAAATATCTTAAATTTAAGTACATATTTATATTTTTATTTTTATATTTAAAAAGTAAGCTTAGTCTTCAATAAAGTATACATCACATACGGAAATCGATTTTTGAAAACTTTAGCTTTGCTAATTAACTACAAACTAATATCAAATGATGTAACATAAAGCGATCTAATGATTTACTTTATTAATTTTGAAAAATATTTGTCAAAATTTCAAAAAAAAAGCAGAGAAATTATATTTCAGTTTTATATCTATATATCAGTTTTCCACCTTTTAGGAATTTTTGTAACAATTTTCGCTTAGTGGAATATACACAGCCCTCAATAAAATTGTTTATTTTTATTATTGTCATCGCCTAAATAAGTTTTTGTGGCTAAATATTATTTTAAATAAAAAACTTTAACCATAACATGCAGATTCATAAATTCATTTCCAGATAAGTAATGTCAGGTTTTAAATGAAAATCATGAAAACACGAGCGACCATTAGCTACCACACTACCTGTGAAGTAATAGCATCCTTCCACAATTCCACAATAAATTTTTCACCACCAACATGAATTTGTAAATGATAATTCAGGATTTAAAACTTTTCTTAACAGAACATATTAAAAAAATTAGGTTTTATATAGGGTGTTTCAAACTGAGTACTTTACCATTACTATCTTGGAATCCTGAGAAATGGAGAGCAGGGTTAAATTGAGGTAAAGTTGCATAATTTTTTTCTTTGAACGGCCACATAATATTTTATTTCGCTATTTGGATAGGGAATTAGATTCTCACTATGATATATTGTCTATCGTCAACAGTTGTCAGCTTCTTTCTTTTTAATACAGATCTATTAACATTTTTTTTGGCATTATATTCCTCATTCTCTTCTGAGTCCAATTATATATTACTGTTTGATGACATTTAAAATCAGAAAAATCATCATCAATGTTTTTTTTCTTAAGGAAAATATTTACAATTTTGTAGACAAATACTTCATAAATTAGGCGAATGAAATGAAGGAAATTTTAATGGATTGTAACATCCAGTAGTATAAAAATTCTCATAATCAATCAATATTTTCTCAATGTTTGTAACTTTTACGTTATTCCGATGCCAAATTCAATGTAATAATTATCTGTTATTCTTTAATTTTTTGTTTTATTAAAACTTCTAAATACAAATCATATAAGGAAATTATAAGCAGATTAATGGGAATGTCTGAACACTCAATAATAGCCCACATAGAGTTTAATCAGCAACTACCCCAGAAGCAACTTTTGAACACAAAGATTTACAAATTTTACCAGTCATCATCTTTTAGACTTAAATCTATTATGTACCTACTTAATAATACTGATACATATATTTCTAATAATACACAACATAGTTCAATATAAGAGCTACAAAAAATTGTGGATAGATAAAATACCAAACAAAAAATGTTTTTGAACGCTCTGTATCTCACGAACCAAGTTCATATGAACTTTTTATCTTAAATTTGGTCAAAGATTCTCCCTTTAAAATTTGTACAAGTACTTACTAAACACCCTGTATTTTAATAATGCAACTAAGTCAATAGAATACATAATTTTAAGTAAATAAGTAAATATCCTTAGTGTTTTTCAATTTTCGCATATACAGAGCCTTCATAACTGATTACAAACCAAGTGACCAGTAAATTTGTTAGGATCAGTAATTTTATTTATTTCATGTTTGCTATTAAATTTGGGTAAAATTAAAAATTTTCAAAACAATAAGATCAAGATTACATTAAAATACATCATTCTGTTTCACTGACTGTGATTGGTTTAAGTTTTCACAAGATTTTATTCAGCCAATCAGCGATCGCATTATCTTGAGCGTAGATGTAATGGTTTGTCATTGTTCATTGTAAATGAATCATGAATATTGTTGATGCCAAGGTTTAGGGATATTTCGTTACCAGTACCAGCCCCACAATATTGGTTGCCTAACCTTGACGGTCACATGGCTTGTAAACATTTATAAGAACTCTGTATGATAATCCCATATGTGAAAATATTTAAAAAATATAATTTTGTCCGAGTAACTAAAATGTAGAACTAATTATTAATAATAATAGATATGCCGTATTTAATTTATGAAGAACTTATAAGAATGTAGACAATTTCAATTTACATTAAAATTAGAATGAAATTTCTAAATATTTTCAAATAATAAAATTACAGTAATTTTACAGCTTGACCAAATTCATCTTGTCGGCAAGTTTCAGATGAACACAGGTAACGAATCAGACTAGTACCATAGCTCATTCTCTGAATGTCGAACGGTACATTCTCTGCTGTTAAAGTCTCATGTCTTTGTCACTCCTACTACAGACTCTCTTCTTAATCTGCGCATTTTGCAGTCGAGTTTGGTCAAACTATAATGAACAAATGTTTGTCTCTTGTTTGTATGAATTTACTAATTTCTATCAGGTAACATTTTATTTAAAAAGATTTCCATTTTAGAGCTGCTAATTCATGGTCCTGGTTATGTTTCCATTGGACCATATTTCTCGAATCCAGTTATTCTATAATACAAAGGGTTCGTCTCTTTACATGGATTTGGGAAAAGTTTAAAGGGCGCAAAAAATCGGATCCCACTGAGGATAGTCATAATTTTGTCCATAATGGGCTTCTGCATAATATTAACATGCCTACAACGGGAGATGAAGCAATGAAAAGATTACTAGCCTGCAAGGGAAAGGATCCGTACAGTATATTAGGGGTTACGCCAACTTGCACTGACGATGATATCAAGAAATATTATAAGCGACAGGCTTTCTTGGTACATCCTGACAAAAACAATCAGCCTGGGGCCGAGGAAGCTTTTAAAATATTAGTGCATGCTTTTGACATGATTGGTGAACCTGAAAGAAGAGCTTCTTATGACAGAGGTATGCTGAATTTTTATTTTGCAATATAATCAATTTTTCTTCAACATTCAAAAATAATATTAGAAATAATTATAATTCAAAAGTTACTATAGGCAAATATGATAATGGACTATATTTATGTGAACGATGCACTACAAACACAAAAAAATAATACTATACCACAAGTTCGGCTTTCAATAGTAAATGAGCAAACAGTTTTCAATATACAAAAAATATAGAAAACACTTGAGGAGGCCTGGTTTTCACATATCAAGTTTTATTGTTGACCAACTGACTGAGTTTTTCTCGTTTGCGCAATGGCGACGAAATTTAATTTCCTTTGATAATTGAAGATTAATTTTTATGTATAATGCACAAAATTGTCCCTTAGTTTTGTGTATTACATGTAAATAAATAAAAATTAATAACAGTAAAAACTAAGATTTGGCCAAACATGCCTTTAATACAGACATGTGTTTAAAAATTTAAGGAGTTGAAAATTAGAATTTTATTTTAAATTGTCTAGTAATTATAAATATGTTTGTAGTGTCATCTTAAATATTGTCAGTTTCACGATTTTTTTTTTTTAATTACAAATAATAATTCCCATAGGGAGTTCAAATTATGGGTTTGGCTTGGCTTTGTTAAATCTAGGAGTATTTTTATTTCTGCCTAACATGGGGGCTCCTTTTTAATGTTTTATTTTCTTTGTTTTTGAGGTATTTGCTCTTAACCAAATTCAACACTGCTTTTAATTCCAATTAGTGTTTCTAAGAGAAAAGATCTATTTCACTTTATTTCACAAAACGAACTGTTCTCATGTTATTACTTTTTTCCTTTTGTGACATAACTTTTATTGTCAAGCACTTCAATTAATTTAAAATGACTAGAATACATTCATTCATTCATACAACAGGGTGAATCTGTTTGAGGTGGATGTAACAGGGGGCTAGCAAATTTTTTCTGGATTACCTACGGTACAACTCGCGTAATAAAAGTGTAGATCCCTAGATCTGGGCGAGGTCTGTAACATTTTCAAAATTGCAAAAAAAGAAAAAAGTTTTAGAGTTGAATTTTGCACAATATATGTACTGTAAGTTAAAAATGTTTAAATTTATTACCGATGTTGCAAAATAGCAATAATTGATGAAAAAAAGGCAAGATAATCAAGTTTTTTGAATAATTTTTTTTACATATTTTAATTGCTCCGAGGCATTATAATTTTGGTAACTTTAGAATATAATAAAACAGCACACCAAATTTCATTAAAATCGGTTCGATAGTTCTCGCAAAATAATTTTTTGAAAACAAATTTTCGAATTTTCAAAATGTTGCACAGCATCAAATAAAGCATCTACATACTTGAACATTTTTTCACATAGAAAAGACCGCTCAACCTTTCAAATGGTTTTTGAAAAATTAAATTCGGTTGATTAGGATGGCCACAGTCAATTATTAAAGTTAACACTTTTTTTTTTAATTTTTAAACAATGAGATTACATTTATCAATTTGCAATTTAGTTTTTTCAAAAATTATAATTTTGATGTACTCGGAAAGATGCTTCTTTTATTAAAAAAAAAAGTTAAATTCCGTTTATTGGTTCTTGAGATAAGTGATCAAAGTTTATCGGTATTAACTGTTAATTTATAAACACTTTAGCAATAATCTTTGATCCAGTGGGTTCGTTTTAACGAGTTCCAAGCTGGAAAAAATTTTCATATCCATAAGTTATCGGCAACATAGATAAATTAGCGGAAAAGCTGTAGCTCGCACATGCAAAAAGTGACTCAAAACACGAAAAGTGGGAGAGAAGGAACAAAAAAAATTGCATTATCTCGGCTTCTAATGAACCAATTTCGATCTTTTATTATTATTTTTTTTTGTTTTTATTTTAATCCAGTCTCGAGAGCCAAGGAATTCGAATATCGTAATGCCAACTACCTAATTTGCACATATTGTGTTATAAACAAAGTTTATTATTTATGCATTAAATATACTGTATATTTTGCCCTATCTTATTAAATTTTTTCAAGGAAAAAATTTGTTTACGTATAAATTTCAACACTATTAATATGAATGTATTTAGTTATAATTATTACAATTATTTAAATAATTTTTGTTTAAACAAATTTAAAAAAAAATTATTTGGAAATAAATTTTTTTGTTAAATACAGATACAGATTTTAAAAAATAGTACTTTAAAATTATAATTATTTTAATTTTTAACTTTTTTTTTAACGAAAAGAAGCGTTTTTCCGAGTACCTACTTTAAAATTGTAATTTTTGATAAAAAACTAAATTGCAAATTGATAAATGCAATCTAATTGTTAGAAGTGTTAACTCTTTCAATTTTTCGAAAACCATTTGAAAGGTTGAGCGGTCTTTTCTATGTGAAAAAATGTTCAAGAATCTAGATACTTTATTTGAGGCTGTGCAACATTTAGAAAATTCGAAAAAATTTTTTCAGATTTTTCAAAAAATTATTTTGCGAAAACTGTATAAACGATTTTAATGAAATTTAGTGTGTTGTTTTATCATACTCTAAAGTTTTTTTACCAAAATTAGAATGCCCTCGGAGCAATTAAAATATTTTTAAAAAATTATCCAAAAAAACTTGGTTATTTTGCCTTTTTTTCATCAATTATTGCTATTTTGCAACATGGGTAATAAATTTAAACATTTTTAACTTACAGTATATTGTGCAAAATTCAATTCTAAAACTTATTTCCTCTTCGATATTCTTCCAAAATTCATAGGTTCTAAGGTATAAGTAAAAAACTCAAGACAAAATAGGTACTTTTTAAATTTTTTAAACATTTTTGCAATTTTGAAAATGTTAGCAAAAAATTAGCTTGGCCCTTCNGTCTCCACAAATTATAGAATGGCCGAGGTAATGAGGCAGTTGTAATTGAACAATATTTTGCCCAATATGAATTTCCAGAGGTTATAGGAATAATTGATGGGTCACAAAAATTGATCGGACATTACATGATGACTTAGAAGTGCTTAAAAAAAATATTAATATACCTGCATATGTGCCTCCAAATCAAAATCGGCATTATGAAAGAGACGATAGGGAGGGAATTCATATAAGATAAAGTATATCACAATCCATATTTTTTTGAATAACCAATAATATACTATATTAGTGTAACTGAAAACTAACTATGGATAGTCGATAAATTATGGTTGGACAATTTCTAAGCTGATTGCCATGTTGTCGGTTTAGGCTTCTCAATGCTTTGAGGGTCATATCGCTCTCTTCTTCAGAAGAGATCTGGAACTGTTTCGTTTAAAGGTCATAATGATATGTATCTCAAAATGTCAAGAAGTTTAAAACAACATGACGACCAATTGATAACCAAAATTTTAACATAATATACTCCATTATAAAGGTCACAAAAAATAGGTAATCAATATTTTATAACTGTTTAAAATCGATTAGTTTTCTGGGTATATATTTTAAAATTGCTGTAAAATTTAATTCTACTTTTGTAAAATTGTTGATTTAATTCAAATGTAACATGGTTCCATGACTTATTACAAGGTAGAGTATAGACCAAACTTAATAAGGTATTATAAAGAAATATTTTAGCAATGTCCTATATTTTTGTTATATATTTTGTAAAAATAAAATGTTTATCTACCAAAGATTTCAATGTTTTATTAATTGAATCAAAAAACGAAATTATTTGTACCTAATTAAAATTAAAATACATATTTATTCATAACAAACAAGTAACAAAGTAAATATATATTACAAATAAAACGAACTCTTCTTAAAAATAAGTAATACTTGTCAGTCTATCTTCTTTTTCTTCTTAAAATTTCATTATGTTCATGAAGCAATTGATTTCTATGTTTAAATATTTACTAAAAGTAGTCAATTACCAATACAGATCGATCAGCATCGATTACTATACGTATCCTCTCTTTAAATTTTATATGATATCTGAATTTCAACCAGTTTTTTACTAACAGCAAAGAAACAGCAACTAATTGGAAATGATTTATTCAATTCAGTAACAATAATAACGATGTCACCAGCAAGAATTATATGAAAGATACAAATTTAATTATTTATGCATGTAATATAAATTACAATATGTAGAAATAAATAAAATATACTTTGTTGCCATTGTCAATATTATGCTCAGAACATATTCATTGTTGCTTTGTCGAGACCTCATCACATGCCAACAGAATTTTTCTTTTATTAGATTATACACGACAATGACAACACGACAATTTCGCAAAATAATTTTTTCAAAAAATTATTTTGCGAAAACTATCGAACCGATTTTAATGAAATTTGGTGTGTTGTTTTATTATACTCTAAAGTTTTTTTTTTATCAAAATTAGAATGCCCTCGGAGCAATTACAATATTTTAGAAAAATTATCCAAAAAACTTGATTATTTTGCCTTTTTTACATCAATTGTTGCTATTTTGCAACATCGGTAATAAATTTAAACATTTTTAACTTGCAATATATTGTGCAAAATTCAATTCTAGAACTTTTTTCCTCTTCAATATTCTTCCAAAATGCATAGGTTCCAAGATATAAGTAAAAAACTCATATAAAATAGGTATTTTTTAAAAATGTTTTAAAATATTTTTGCAATTTTGAGGATATTCCGGACCTCGCCCAGATCTAGGGATCTACACTTTTATTATATGAGTTGTACTGAAGGCATTTCAGCAAAAATTAGCTTGCCCCCTCCTACATCCAAGAAGTGGGATATTTCAACAGATCCGCCCTGGTCTATTAATGTTTCCCAACAAAGGTTAATTTTTTTTTATAGAAATGCGAAACTCACCTAAAGAATTTAACGTACCATGTCTTGACATTACTGATACAAATAACTGTAATATCCATAATCTATTGTAAAGCACTCTACTAAAAAGATTTATTATCTAGTTTTTTTGTTTCAGTAAAAATTTAAAGTTTTAAATCTACCCTGTATTACTTTTTAAGGTGTAGTTGAGTCCGCTCAAGTAGTTCAAGCCTGGAGTGAACTGACGGAGCTTCTTCAACAGCTTCAGCAGAAAGTTGAGGCAGCTGCAAACACTATTAGATGTAGCGCTTGTGGTCTAAGGCATAAAAGAATCAAAATAGATAGACCTAGCTATGCTGCCCGTAACTGCAACTCTTGCAAAATTCATCATGCTGCAAGGGAAGGTGATATATGGGCAGAAGCCAAGGTCTTCGGCTTTCTATGGCATTATTATGCCTGTATGGAAGGTTCAGTATATGACATAACAGAGTGGGCGGGCTGTCAGAAAGATAGCTTAAAGCATCTTAGGCCTGATTCGCACCATGTACAGTACAGAATTGCTTTAGGGAAACAAAATAACCAACCTAGAAGGAATACTGCCACTACCCATGGCGAAAGACCTGATTTAGAAAATTTACTTAACACGTTATATGGACAAAACGATAGTACCCAAGGCACACGTCGTAGAAATAAGAAAGCCAATAAATGATTTTATTTTATTCCTTATATAAGCAAACATTTTATTTTGCGAAAACGCTACCCTATTATGTAATTAATTATGCGCTTAATAAATATGTTTCAAACATTACCTTTTTTTTTTCATTTAAACTTTCATAAAAAATATATTTCAAATTTAGTAAAAAGTTCACACTTGACTAGAATACTTTTCCAAATACTCGACTAGCCGGAATTGGTAAATGTAGTTGAAAGCGTATTGGTAGTGAAGTATATTCGGTTAAGTTTGGTTTTGATGGGAAAACTGGTTAAATTTCCTATATTTAGTTAAGACACCCTATATAGTGAAAGATTATTTAAATTCAACAAAATATCACTAGACTAGATTTATTTATTAACAATCATGTGTGTTATACAAAAAATATACCGACTTTTATTTTACATCAATTTCCTAAACAAATATCAACAAGAAATAACTAATTCATCATATTAATCAAGAGCTCCATCCAAAAAACATAGCTGGGGAGTACTATGAATTACAGTGTCGACATCTTTTCTCATTACAGTCTTGCGTTTACCCATTATTGCAAGTTGTTTTCCTGTCTCACTTGCAAAATATTCAATGAACATTTCCTAGAACAGATTACTTTAATAAAAATGGTTATAAAAATAAATTAGAACTAACAGTTGCTTTCGTAACAAGAAAAACTGCATCCTGACTAAGTAAAGCACAGTCTGTGTCTTTTTTCATTATGGTTTTTACTCGAGCTAAAGGTAATCGCAGAAATTTGTGTTTTTGAGGACTTTCTTTGTCTTTGTTGGATGTAACTTTTAGCTCTGCAGACTCAGTCCTATTTTCTTCTACATTTTGGTTTACTTCTTCCGACTCGATATCAACTTCTATTTCTTCCATAGCAATAAAAACGATATATGCCTCTATTACAGTAGAGGTTAAAATTTTATTTGAGATCACAATAACAAAAAACAAAAGGACGTGATT